AACTTAAAAATACTTATTAGTAACTAATTTCCACCTCAAAATCAGATATTTATATGTGCCTGGAAAAAACCCTGTTTTTCTTTACTTGAACACTTACAACATTTCTGAGACCAGATATGTGGGTTTTTTCACCCTAAACAATTTTGACACTAACTGCCTGGAGTTAGTGCACACCCACAGGTTAAGGGGTCTTAATGCTAATTGCAAGCAGTGGGTCCGCAGGTTACCCATGACTTCTGTCTGACTTGGCTTACAAATTGGAGGTTCCCACGACCCCACCCCCTTGGGTTTGATAATTTGCTCACAGAACCCAGGAAAATAGTTAACTTACTACTGCTGGTTAATTACAAAAGACATTTTAAAGGATACAAATGAACAGCCAAATGAAGAGATACATAGGGTGAGGTCTAGGAGGGTCCCAAGTGCAGGAGCTTGTGTCCATCTGGAGCTGGGGGTGTACCATCCTCCCAGCACATGGATGTATTCACCAAACCAGAAACCCTCAAAACCCCATTCTTTTGGGATTTTTATGGAGAATTCATCACATAGGCATGACTGACTAGTAACTCCATTCCAGTCCCTCTCCTCTCTCTGGAGAATAGGGGGTGGGGATGAAAGTTCCAAGCTTCTAATCATGGCTTGGTCTTTCGGGCGACCAGCCCCATCCAGAAGCCCCCAAGAGTCTCCTAATTAGAACCAAAAATGCTCCACTATCCAGGAAATTCCAAGGGATTTAGGAGCTCTGTCGGTCATTTCTATCACTCAGGGTCTTAAGGGCTCTCTGTCAGGAAGTGGGGTCAAAGACCAAATATTAGAACAAAAGATTCTCCTAGCACCCCTATTGACAAGGGCTTTGTGTCAGGAACTGAACTGGGGCAGTAACCTTATATATTGAGTTTTATATATATATATAATTTCACAATATGCTTCTATTCTTCAATAGGAGAAAAATCCTGTCACTTTTGGTAAGAGATAAGAATGGGAGGTTGCAGATGGTTTGTATAGGGGAATGCACAGATGCACATGTATAAGAATCACTGCCTTGGGCAGCAGGAGTTAAGTATTAAAGAAAGAGCGAGCCAGGGCACCAGTTCAGATGGTGACTAGAAAGTATGAATACCAAGTTCTTTGAAGAGTCCTTGAAGACAAAAGAAATATTTAGCTGGAGAGGACTCAGGGGGCGCAGAACAGTTGCTTTCAAACATCAGAAGTTAACAAAGGGAAAGAAGTTCAGACTTTGATCTGAGAGCCCAGGGTTGGAGCTCGGACCAATCAGTGAAAACCGCAGAGGCACTTCTAACAGCAGGGAGCGTTTCAGGAGGAATGGCTGCCTTGGTGAGGCTGAGGCTGGTGATCCCTTAGCAGGGATCACTGGACTGTCAGATCCACGGGAACAGGGACCTTGTCTGTTTTGTTCGCTGCCCCAGTACCTAGAAAGGTGATCAGCACATAGTAGGTGCACAATATATACTTGTTGAATAAGGTAATGGGGGTGACAGTCAGCATTCAATGGGAAGTTTGCCATGGTGACCTTAAGCTCACTGTAGCCTGAATTTGTGTGCCACTTCCCTTATCTGCATGATCATCCTTTTAAGTCCAAATGTGTCTTTGTAGTTGTCTCAGAAATACACAGGGAACTCCTGTCCTGAAGAGGACAACAGAAACAGTGGGAAATCAGCAATCCTGACCTGGAAGAAGCTAAGCCTCCCAGATGGTGTATGTATATATTTTTTATTTATTTATTTTTTGCGGTATGCAGGCCTCTCACTGTTGTGGTCTCTCCCGTTGCGGAGCACAGGCTCCGGACACGCAGGCTCAGTGGCCATGGCTCACGGGCCCAGATGCTCTGGGCATGTGGGATCCTCCCAGACCGGGGCACAAACCCGTGTCCCCTGCATCGGCAGGCGGACTCTCAACCACTGCGCCACCAGGGAAGCCCCAGATGGTGTATATTTTGAACACAAAGTATAAACAAGTATCTTTGAGGTGTCACTGGTTTCTCCCTTTCATGGTCTCTAGCCAGGAAGTCACACCACCTTGAAGAGGCACTCGAAGGGCACTAAAAGAATTTTCTAAAATCTGTATGTCAAAATAGGTTATAGGTAAGCATGTCCTTTAAACACACTGTTCCATGCTTAGAGGAAGAAAAATTCGGATGTCCATTTTAACCCCCGCACTCCAACAGCTAGCACATTAAATCAGACTCCCAGCAACCTCTGGCAGGCTGAAGATAAAACATCAAGGAAGAACCTGAGGTCAAAGTCACGAAGTGCAGACACAGACATTATTATTATTATTTTGTATTTATTTTGCAACCATTAGGTTCAGTTGCCCAGAGTCAGGTCACCAAAGACAAAGTTTCAGCCTCCCAATGAATCCCAACCAAAGTCCATGCTGTTTGGCCACTTTAGGATGGCAAGGGGAGCAGAGGCTCACCTAGGTAATCTGTACACGATCCAGAGAAAAGACACCCAAGTTAGGATGGATCCATTTCAGGGATTAAGGGTGTACCTAACGTGAAGCACACCACGTGACCACGAGAGGCAAACGCAGGGCACTCGAGCAGCCTCACCCATCCCCTCGTATTTCTCTCCAAACCAGTGCACAGTCACAATGACAAGTGACAGTGAGAAAGAAGAGCTGAATGACACGTCTCAACTCAACAACATTTAATTTTTGTTTGTTAAATAGGCGATTAGGCTTCAGTGTGGCACCCCCCAGATGTTGGGGGTTGGGGCCATTCCATCCGTTTTCCTGCGCTTTGGTCGTTCTGCTTTCCTGCAGTGGATGCCATGTCCGAAAGAACCATACTCCAAAACCCACTGAAGAGAACTGAAAAACAAAAAGAGTAACTTTCAAGATCAAGATGCCCCTGTACAGAAAGGATTTAGAGATATAACTTCAACACCAGAGCAGTCTGCCTCCACCAGCTCCCTAAACCTAGAGGGCTGATTTACAGGCTCCACGGAAGACTTCCTGCTGGAGAGGAAATGACATTTTTAAAAGTTTTCCTCTATTTCTTTGGAAACCCAATGACTTTCTCTGATACACATCCCAAAGCTACCTTCAGCCATCCTCCTTTCTCTCTTCTTTGTGACTGATCTGTGTTTGGTGCTAGAGGAGGAAAGATGAAAGTAAATATCTTTTTACATAAAAAGATTTGGAAAGTGAGAGCTGTTTGTGGTTGCTGAAACATATGGTTATACAGGGGACAATGGCAGGATATGAGGCAGGACAAACAGATTAGGGATGGATCATAGCAATCCAGGGAGTCTGGGTTTTCTTTAGACAACAGGAGGCCAAAAAAAAGTTTGTAAGTAGAGGAGTGACGCAGTCAAAGGCACAATCAGATTTATAGATTTTCAAAGACCCCTATGGCTACATATAGGATGGATCAGAAGGAGGAGAAAAGAGACAGAGAAACCCATCAAGCTCTTACCATAGTCTAAATGTGAGATGATCAGGTCCTAAACGCTGGGTATGGTACTGATAGGACAGATTTGAGAAATATTTCAGAGGTAGCATAGACAAGTCTTGCTGACAGGTAAGATGTGGAAGATAAGAGGGAGGAATCTACACTGATGCTGAGGTTTCTAGCTTGGGTGACCAGGTAGATTTCTTAATTTATCCAACAAATATTGATGGAGGACTCACATGCCAGGCACCAGGTACGATGAATAAGGCAAACATGGTTCTAACTCTCAAGAAACTTACAGTCCAGCAAGGGAAACTACAGAGTAAACAAATACATAAAACATTACTTATGTAATTACGACTATAAGGTACCATGAGAGGGTATGATAAAGAATCTAACCTAGTCTGAAATCAGGGGCGGTGTGGATGGTAGTGCCATTCACTGAGACAGGAAAATGAAAGAGCATCTGGTTGTTGGGGGGATGAGTTTAGTTTTGAACATAATGAATTTGAGGCATCTGTTGGTACACCTAGTTGAGGATTTGCACGAGACGGGAACTTGGAAAAAGAGGCTAGAGATATGGTGAAATCCAGGGGAGATTAAGGAATGTGGCAGAGAGGGGTTCCTAACGCATGGCCTTCCCCCTAAGAGAATAAGTCAGACCTCCCTGGCGACCTCATCGGGGGAAATATCACAACCAGTGTCAGCATTTAAGCATACCATGAAGGTGAGGCTGAGGTAGGGGAGATCTGCCTAAATCCACTGGCTCTAGAAAAGGGAAAAGTTGCCAACAAAATAGCTGTGAAAAGTGGTTGGAGAAGGGTGGATGCTGTAATTTGCTGGAGTGAAAGAACCTAAAGACCTGATTGGCCTTCTGGTAAACATCGGCTCCGGTTTCTGAAATGCTAAGTAAAGGTAGGGACAAACCAGCCCACAGGGCAGGCACTAAAGCTTTATTTTCATAAATATGGAAAGATTTGGCCCACAATGTCACCATCAGCCAGGGCTCCCTCGCCACTTCCAGGCCTAAGACCTGGGTAAGGCCTCCCTGGCCACTTCTGGCTCCCCACCACAGTGGCCCCCTGTGGCATGCCCTACTCCCTTCCTGGCCCCATCCCTGCAACCAAGCCTGGACAGTATTACCATTGCCTGATCTGGGGTGTTCCAACCAGAAGTTCCCAAAGTCATGATTCTCTTTTTAACTCAGCAAGGTCTGCTAGTCTGTGTGATGCAGGAGATATAAAGTTGGGCTGTAAAATCTGGGAAGGTAAGAACCTATCTCCATTGTTCACCAGTAGCCCAGCACCTAGCACAGAGTAGGTCCTCAATGAATGAACAAGAGTTTCCAAATAGCTTGGCAAATGATCCCAGGAAAGTTTTGAGTGCCACATGGTATGTATATAACCCTTGCTTGTTCAAAATCAAGCTTTCCCCAAATGCCTGCTGAGTGCTGGGGCTATATTGGTAAATAAATCTCTGACCTCAAGGACCCTCAGTCTATGAAGTTATGGTTAATAAGAAAATGGCCACAATAGAGAAACATACAAAGAACTGTAGCAGAGCCCAGAGAAATAAGTAATATTACCTGGAGAAGTAAAGCAAAACTCCACCAAGGACAGAGTATCTGAAGTAGGCCCTGAAGAATAAATAGGAAGTTTCCAAGCAGACAAGGGAGGGAAAAGCATATTCCAGAACTTAAAAAAAAAAAAATCTTGAAAGATTTTATTTATTATTATTTATTTATTTTTTATGCTGCGCCTCGCGGCTTGCGGGATCTTAGTTCCCCGACTAGGGATTGAACCTGGGCCATGGCAGTGAAAGTGCAAAGTCCTAACTACTGGACCACTAGGGAATTCCCTTCAAAGATTTTAAAGTAACATTTCCAGTAGTTAGAGGTAGTTTGGTACTTTTACTGCTAGATCCCTGTAAGTGCACAGTGGGATAAAACAAGTAAGTACTTATGTGATAGCCCAATTCTATCATTGATGGTGTCAGTGAGAAATGAGATCCTCAGTACAGGAGAAAGGAGATATGAATATAAGATACGAGCAGTAAATTTAGTACTGTACTAAACAGGAATTGGAAGTATCAGTATGAACTCACAACATATGTTCTATCAAGCAAACAACAATCATATTTCCTAGCTCTGAACATTGAAAAGGCCTGAAAACAATGACTAAGCCAGTTGCAGTGAGCACCGCTAGCATCCAAATTGTGACCTGGAAAATACTATTTCCCTGAATGGAACCAGGACTCCTTAGAGAAATGGCTCAGTCTGGGTGTGGGACAGGAAAAGTTCAAAATGAGCCAAGAACATTTGGTTATAACAGGTAACAAGGCAGTTACCAGAGACTCCTAGGGTCGTGCCGAGAGGACCCAGGGGCCAACCTGAAGAGGCTCCCGGTGGCCAAATACAGGAAAATTTGAGCATCAATAAGCATAGTATTTGCAATGGACTGAAACTAATTGGTCATTGCTGCAGATCCTAGTGAGCCAACTACTATTTTGAAAGCAGGTAAATAAAGAGAAAAAAATCATTTATCTTGCTTTTCTAATATAAACTGTATCACCGGAACCACGCAGATGAAGGGAAATTTTTAGTAAAGAAGTATTCTAGTAAATAAATAAAGAAGGAAAGATAGAACTAAAATATCACCATTTTGAAACCCCTACTGAATTAATGGGTCTAGGCATTGCTTATTAATGGCTACCAATATCAAAAAGACAGAGAGATAATTAGACATTATGAGTTTATGGATGGAAGGGTTTTACGGCACATATCAAGTAATCTTGCCAAAAAAAAAAATCAATCTGAATCTGACCAAACCTTTAGATACAAACAGCAATTCACAGAAAACAGAGGACAGAGCTATATGTTAAATGATACCATGGAGAAACAATCAGCAAAATCCAGACAGTGAAAAACTATAGGATAAATGATTTTTCAACAAATAAGTGGCAAAGGGAAAG